CTATGAAAGAAAAATGGTCTACTTAAACCACAAGTTATATTTATAAAAAATATACACTGGTCTCCTTAAGTCATATGAGAGAAACATAAAATATTAAGGAGACCATTTTTTTCATATATTTTTAGGAGGCATTTATTATGAAAAAATAAAGCAAGAGTCGACTAAATGGTGTTCTATAGATCTTTGATCTGGTATTTCTTTTTAGAAAAAAGCAAATTTAAAAAATTTGTATATTGTCTCCTTAAGCCATATATAATGGTCTGGTCTCCCTAGTCCTTAAATCAGAGTTATATATATATATATATATATATATATATATATATATATATATATAAAATTGGGACCAAGTTAATGCAGTTTGAAAAAAAATCTTTTCAAAGCGTGTTAATATCGACCATATTAACACACTTTGGAAAAAAGTGCACGGTCTGGTCAATATTCTTGCAAATTTAAGGTATGATAAATAATTATTTGAACCTGATTTAATAACTTTTCGGTAATGACGTTACTACAGGATCTACTGCATGGACTTTTAGGGGTTGTCTTGTTCCCAAAGGTTTTTGTCAATATTACAAAAGGGAAATATTCTTTTAAAAATAATGGATGAATGCTTGTTTAATAGCACAATTTCGTTTTTTTTTAAATTTCTATCCAGTCTCTAATAAGTTTGGTAGTTTAGGAGTCGTTAATTGACTGAAAGCATCGCAATTTTCTTAGGGAAAAGGGAGCTATTATCAATGATTTTTCCATCAGTGAAAATTCTCTCTCTCTCTCTCTCTCATTCATCTATCTGCCAGTCTGTCATTCATCTTTCTATCTATCGTGAACATATATGAAACAATGCTTGACTCATTTAATTGATATTAAGAAAAATAAACCTTCGCCACATTACTCACTTGACTGAAATTTTTACCTCGTTCACAAATAATTTTTTCTCATAAAAACCTTTTAATGTAAATCATTTACGGTGCCAATTTTGATGCACCAGATACGCATTTCGACAATTTATGTCTCTTCGGTGATGCTCAAGCCGAAACGTTGGAAATCCAAATTATTAAATAAAAAAGACTTGGAAGAGCTGAAAAAGGTGCCACAGACTAGAGCCAAATACGTTGAAGGATTAGAGCTATGCATGAGGGAGATAATCCTTAATTTTGAAATAAATTTAGAGAAAAAAAATTATAAAAAGTTATGCAGTTGGATTACTTCTAAATCTGTAATTTGATATCATAAAAGGCTAAACATGTAAAATAGCATGTTTTAGTTACCCTGTAAATGCCATTGTGGATACATTTTAAATAAAGGATATGCAACTCGGCGGGGTAGTAAACAGACAACCAACGAACATACATTCATGTAAAACTAACATGATAGGTAGTTTCTCAAAATCCCATGTTGTTTAACATTTTACCTTTTAAAGGAAATAGTTGAAGAGCTGAATGAATTTTTTATCATTGAAAGGAAAAAGACCTACATTTCTTACCAGAACAACATCTGGCGACAGTTTTTGTAAAAAGGTCATTAATTATTTGATTTTTTTTTTTTTTTGACAATGAAAATTAATGGACTTTCATTTTTAAAAGAAATAAAATTCATTGTACTAAAGACTTCCTTATACTTTTTATTGTATTTAAAATTTTAGTTTTTTTTTCAAATATGATTGTTAGGGGCATGCGAAATGTGACAAAATGGGTTCCAAGTTTGTGTGCTCAATGAAAATAATTTGCCCGCACAATTTGATGATCTTTTTGTAGTATGATGATCAATATGATGATCCTATTTACAGATATTTGATTAGTTTTAAGATGAATGAAAAAAAAAATTTCTGCATTTTATACAAGATTTTTTTTTATTTGTATTGATTTAGTAAAACTACTTTTGCCAAAGTATAGTCAGTTGGCTATTTTTCTTAGATCAGAGATATTGTCCCTGAGCCTATCTTCTTTATTAGGGTGTGTCGTTATTTTTATTCAGGAAATCTTTTCTCAAGTGTTTCATCTATTTTTCGTTAATTCATTTTTATTGAGAGAAAGTATATCAATGTCATACCAGTTATGTAAATACATATATTAGGATAGGAAAGATATAGAGTCGGGCTGAGGGACCTTCTACCTGTCTTCTCCTCGTTTTCGATGAGGACAGATCAATTTGTCAGTTTTTCGAAAGAAATATAACAGAATAATGCTGTCTATTACTAAAATTAAAAGTCCAGAAATTTTTGTTTCTAAGGAAGAAATTCTTCAAAATCATGTGTCCGTTTTGAATATTTTTATTATTCCAAACAACCAAAATGAATTTGAATTACCATATCTGTATTGGATTCCGAAACTTCATAAACATTCTTACAAACAAAGATACAAAGCGTGTTCCAGTAAATGTTCAACCAAGCCTCTTTCTTTACTCCTCACTAAGATATTAACAGTAGTGAAGGAGAAACGTCAGGAAGAGTCTATAACATAACCCAGTCAGTGCATCCGGAAAAATAAATTCCGATTTGGTTAATATATTATATATTTTTTGTAAGCCGAACCCGATGCATTTTTATTGATATATCAGCGGGAAAATTAAACATAGCGCAGTCCGATGAGAAGAAAAGGAATCGAATGGAGTAATGTTTCTACATGGATGAAGAAATAAGGTATTGATACAATTTATTATTTCATTTATGCATGCATTTTCTCCTCTTTACAAGTTCACCACATAACTTGATTCCTGGCTGATCGAACAGGCAACACCCCGTGAATATTGCTGCTTTGACAAAAGCAGTATGATTTAAAATTATTCCAGCAAAAAGTCAGGTACACGATTGTTTAAACCCATCCTGATTGTGCCTTTCTCTCCAATAATCATAAATCATAAAATCATATAGTTTTCGACAAAGTTGCAGTTCAGGGCTGTTGATCAGTGGTGACGACAAAAACACAGGACTACTACAGAGCATCCAATAACAATAATCAGGTCTGTATGAAAAAAAATTAGTGACTGCAAAGCATATCATTGAAAGACTCAGTCACTGCACAACATAACCCAGTCACTGTTCTACATAACCCAGTCACTACACTACATAAACCAGTCACTACACTACATAACCCAGTCATTGTACAACATAACCCAGTCACTGCACAACACAACCCAGTCACTGTACCACCTAAACTCAGTCACTACACTTCATATCCCAGTCAGTACACTACATAACCCAGTCACTGTACAACATAATCCAGTCACTGTACAGCATAACCCAGTCACTGTACAGCATAACCCAGCCACTACACTTCATATCCCAGTCATCGTACTATATAACCCAGTCACTACAGTACATATCCCAGTCATTGCACTACAAAACCTAATCGCTGTTCACCATAACCCAGTCACTATGGAACATAACCCAGTCACTGCACTACATAATCCAGTCACTACACTACATAACCCAGTCACTAACTACATAACCCAGTCACTGTACAACATAATCCAGTCACTGTACAACATAACCCAGTCACTACACTACATAACCCAGTCACTGTTCATCATAATTCAGTCGCTGCACTACATAATCCAGTCACTATGGAACATAACCCAGTCACTGCACTACATAACCCAGTCACTACACTACATAACCCAGTCATTGTACTGCATGACCCAGTCATTGTACAACATAACCCAGTCACTGCACTACATAACCCAGTCAATGTACTTCATAACCCAGTCACTTCAGTACATATCCCAGTCATTGTACTACATAACCCAGTCACTGTTCACTATAACCTAGTCACTAAAGAACATAACCCAGTAACTGTACTACATAATATAGTCAATGTACAACATAATCCAGTGACTGCACTACATGACCCAGTCATTGTGAAACATAACCCAGTCACTACGCTACATAACCCAGTCACTACACTACATAACCTAGTCACTGTACAACATAACCCAGTCACTACACTACATAACCCAGTCACTGTACAACATAACCCAGTCACTGTACCATGTAAACCCAGTCACTACACTTCATATCCCAGTCAGTACACTACATAGCCCAGTCACTGTACAGCATAACCCAGTCACTACACTTCATATCCCAGTCAATGTACTACATAACCCAGTCACTACAGTACATATCCCAGTCATTGCACCGCAAAACCCAGTCACTGTTCACCATAATCCAGTCACTATAGAACATAACCAAGTAACTGTACTACATAATATAGTCAATGTACAACATAATCCAGTGACTGCACTACATGACCCAGTCATTGTGAAACATAACCCAGTCACTACACTACATAACCCAGTTTCTACACTACATAACCCAGTCACTGTACAACATAACCCAGTCACTACACTACATAACCCAGTCACTACACTACAAAACCCAGTCACTGTACTACATAACCCAGTCACTGCACTACATAACCCAGTCACTACACTACATAACCCAGTCACTGTACAACATAACCCAGTCACTACACTACATAACCCAATCACTACACTACATAACCCAGTCACTATACTACATAATCCAGTCACTGTACAACATTACCCAGTCACTGCACCACATAACCCAGTCAACCCAGTCACTTCACTACATAACCCAGTCACTACACAACATAACCCAGTCATTGTACAACATAACCCAGTCACTACACTACATAACCCAGTCACTGTACTACATAATCCAGTCACTGTACAACATAATCCAGTCACTGTACAACATAACCCAGTCACTGCACCACATAACCCAGTCAATACAGTCACTACACTACATAACCCAGTCACTGCACTACATAACCCAGTCACTGTACAGCATAACCCAGTCACTACACTTCATATCCCAGTCATCGTACTACATAACCCAGATTTTATACAAAAATATTTCATTCATTTCACCTCATAACTGGGTCACTTAACAATAACCTTGTAACTTAACTGTGATGCATGCCTAATGTATTCACTTTTTATTCTAATTCTAATTTATTCACTGGCAGTGATAGCTCCACATACCCATGGGAGTATCTTTTTGATGAAAAGTTTTCCTCTCATTGTGGATATGTAACATCATCTTTGAAGTTAACTGAATTGTTAGAAGAGTATGAGTGCGCAACATCATCTAGATTTCGGTGTTTGAAAAGTGGAAAGCAGTTTGGAAAATTATTTGGTAAGTCCGAAATGAAGAAGGCCATATATACCAGGTAGTTCATATACATGTATTTAATGTTTCCATAAATTTAAAGTTCTCTTATTCATTTAATTAATTATGTATAACAATCCTTCTGTTTAACCACTTCAATTTTCTTTTATTACAAGATGTTACTGAAATATCTAGCTTATATTAATATTTGAAACAACCTAAGAATGTATTCAATTCTGTATTTTTTATTTTTATTTTTTAATCAGTGATTTAGTTCAGTTATGAGAGAAAACAACAATAGTTTTAAAAAATTGAATCTGTATATAGAAATATCAAGGGTAAGTGATCCACAAGTAAGACTTTGGGATACCCAAAGCAATGCCGACCCCTACATTAGGTATGATGGAATTCCTTTTATCATCATGGGCAAGAAAGTGCTTGAATGTCATCAGGGATTTGACGGAGACAGCAAAAGTAATCAAAGAAAAATAATGAGATCACCTGAAGTAAGTGATATTATGAATCTTTTTAAGAATTATACTGAATTAAATTGTGTTTAAGCAATTGTCTGATTTTTAAAAATATAAACATAGCTCACCATTTTTAATCAAATTAAAATTCCTATATTGTATTTATTTAAAAATGTCAACTTTTCATTTACTACAGAATTTTTGGGCCAGATTTGGAAAGATTTTGATATGATACCATGGTATACAATAATGTAAATATTAATGAAAACCTACATATTTACTCTATCTTGTCTTTTTAGTCTGACCATACCTTCAGACGTAAGCGCCGATTAGTACAGAACACCAAAAAGAAAGGATGCCCTGTAAAGATAAAAATCCGCCACGTAGTGAAGTTTTTGAATTACAAGGTAATATTGCAATATAAATGGTTGCAAAATTACATACATGCATGTACATGTGTTTTGTATGAGACTTGGGTTTAGTAATTAATTGAGGGTTTAGTAATTAACTGATGCACATTTTTTTTAAAATTATGCAATAGGTGAAAGACCAACATAAACCAAGTAGGAAGTTTGTACCAAGTGTTAAGAAGGATTTAAATGACTGTACAGGTGAATTAGAATTTCAACATCGGTTCTATGTCTCGTTTCCACCAGCAGAGGATCATAGGAATCACTTGAAAGGAGCGGTAAATGGATTTTAAATATTGTATTAATTTAGTATTTTTTTAAATTGAAGATTTTGTTATAACATTTAATATTTGAAATTCAAATTCACTAAAAATGCTTTAAAATATACTTTAATACAATGTCCTAACAATACAGGCATCCAGCATTTTGCAGCCAATGGACAAGAGAATTTCCAATTATATTAAGAAAGTTGTGAATGAACATGGTGTCACAAGCACACTCAAAATGAAACTGCTTATTGAAGTCTTCTTGAAGCAGTCCATCTTCCAAAATTCTCCACTGCCACCTAAACACAACAAGAGATTTTGGCCTTCATTGAAAGACATTTATAATCACATGGCAACACAGTTTCTCAAACTAAGAGATAGCAGTTTTGATCAGGTATGGGGAAAAAAAAAATAACATGCTCATTAAGAATTCAAGTGCTGAGTTATTTATGAAAGAATGTGTCAAGGATATAGGATTAATCCAACAGTCCATTCCATTCTACATGTATATCCACAACTAGTCAACCACATGTAAGACATTAACAGGTTGTATGCAAAGTCAAATGTCTTTCCACAAACATTACTGAAATGTATATAATGAGGGCATTTTACTCACATTAAGGAAATATATTTCTTATTTTGTCTTTAAATGCAATAAGACATAATTTCTATCCAAAAATACTGATCAACCTATAAAATTTTCAAGCAAAAAAGAAGTGTGATTGTATTTTTATTAATAAGTCTGCAGATATATTTAAAAGTAAAAGAAATAAAATATTTTTAATTCATTTCATTAGAAAGAGGTTCAAGGAATGATTGAGGATCAGAGGTCACTCCATAAAGACGACAATTACTATTTAAGAATTAAGACTGATCAAGTACAAGGTAATCCAGCAAAATTGCAGTAATTTTTCTACATGATCATTCTATGAAATCATTAGGACGTACTGTGCAATAATACCAATATTCTGAAGTATTGTTGTTCGTTTACAAATAAATATTTTATTGCAATACATTATACCGCCTACCGGTAATTGCTCTGAGGAATTAGATTTAAAATATAATGTAGTTAATGTCAGAAACATTTGCGATAGTACCAGACAGTTAGTAGGTCTAGATGGAGTGAAATTTTGTTTATTGACTCTTTCTCATTTCTGTATTTTCAAGTTAGCTTTAGTCAACTATTTTTGTTATTTATATAATCATTTATGTACATTCTGCATATAAATGGAAGTTATGAGATAAAAAATGACCATTTTAATTTAGATTTGAAATATTGCAATACACAATGCACTACATTTAAAAAGTATTGCAGTATATCACAATACAAAATTGCCAGCCAATACACAGGCCTAGAAATCATACAATATTAAAATGAATTTTCATTCCATGTTGTTTATGTATGATTTTAGAACATCCTGTTAGTGGTGATCCTGATGAAAGGTTATTTGTTGATGAAGATTTATTCATTGGAAATTATGGAAAGAGTGCTGATGGAGTCAACAAATTCCTCTACGTCCATCAGACTGCTTGGCAAAGACAACTGCTAAGTAGATATGGAAACGAGATTTGTCTTCTGGATGCAACATATAGAACAACCAGATACACCTTGCCTCTTTATTTCCTATGTGTGCCAACAAATGTTAACTACATGACTGTTGCCACATTCATAGTTGAAACAGAGGACAGTATATCCATCCAGGAAGCCCTATCTATCATAAAATCATGGAACCCAAACTGGAAGCCAGCATATTTTATGTGTGACTATGCAGATGAAGAAATATCTTCTATTGAATCTGTTTTTCCAGGTATTTTAATGAATATTCTTGTACATGCTATTTTAAGTTGTTTTGTTGTTTCTAATTATGCTCTGAGCAGATTGTTCTCTTTTTTAATGCTTCATATTCAATGAATTGAAAGATCAAGACATTTATTTAGGTCCTTGTCTGAACTACCAATGACATAATCATTACATGTACATGTAGGTGGTATGTTTTCACAAACACATCAAACATCTTTATTTCACTTTTTTAAAGAGTCCTTTGTCTACCTCTGTGATTTCCATCGAGAGCAGGCATGGGAAAGATGGCTTAAAGCCACTCACAATGGTGTTGGAGATAACAAAGATGAAATTTTATCTTTGTTACGCTCTATAGCAAGATCAAAAACCATTGAAGAGTTTGAAATGTCAAGTAACAGATTAAAGGTATTTTTCATTATTTTCATGTACAGTAAAACTTCTTACTCTTAAACATTTACAAGATTCTTGCCTATTACTAGTATTTGCATTGTTAATGAAACTGTCATAATAAAATTTCACTTGGTGCTGATTTACTATTTATAATTACTATTTATAATTGCTTTTTTTCTATGTAGTTAAACCCGTAATTAATCTCTTTTTATATCTCCTTCTTCAGAAAAGTCACTTTTGGACAGAAAATAACAGATTCAGAAAATGGTTTGAAGGCAGATGGTTAAATAAATATAAGGTAAGATAATTGTGTGTGTACATTGTATACATACATATGTAGCATATGTCCACAAAAAATTGGGAACACATTTGAGATAGATTTCTTTTCTAATCATACTGCATTATACATTTATGTCATTTGAAACTTGCTTTAAATAAATTCATTTGCTGAGTACATGTAATTTTCTTAATTGTAGAGATGGGTGCAAGCTTTCCGACAGAAAAGATATAACACCTCTGTCAATACCAACAATGGCGCTGAGAGACAGAACAAGACCCTTAAATATGAATTTCTTGAGGCAAAGAAAGCAAAGTCACTGTGTCATCTTCTTACAATTCTGTGGAATGATTTTCTTCAAGACATTTACTAAAGGTAATAAAATGAAGGTACATTACATTAATGCTGCATTGTGTTGCAATACATTATTTATATACAGGTATGTCACTAATTATCCAAAAAGAAAATCATTTACCGTATTTTGGAATTTCAGATATGTGAAACTGAATTTGCTATCCGCAGAGGAATCAATGCAGTACAATCCTGATATTCCCATTTTTTTAATTAATCGTCCAAGAAATGTTGTAAAGCACTGCTTTAAAAGATGGGAAGAAGCAGGAAACATTTAATTAGATGAAATAGATCCCATAGGAGAAGACCAGTTTCTGGTAGAGAGTCAGGTTCCTGAGAGCTCACAAGTTTATTGTGTCCGTTTTTCAGCACCTGACTTTCCAGTACCATCCTGTGACTGTGAGGACTGGACCAAACATCATTTGCCTTGTAAACACTTTTTTGCAGTCATTAGAAATGTTTCTGGTTGGCATTGGGAGAAACTACCCGTAGAGTACAGGAACAATCCCTTCCTGACATTAGATGAGAGCGTTCTTTGCGAGTTCAGTTCAACATCTAATGACACTCATACCGATTGCAAAGAAGAACAAGAGTCAAGAAGAGAGACCAATACAGACAGCAACATACAAGAAATTCTTTTATCATCAAAATCTAGAATTTCTAAAATTAGATCCAGCATCAACAGCTACTGTCAGATGATTAGGGACTATTCTTACTCTTGTAAAGACGAAGAAATTTTGCAAACCCTCAATTCCAAATTGCAGGATACATTAGATAGTTTTACAACTAGTCTCAGTGAAACTAACATACTCCTTGTAGATCATCCAAAGAAACAAATGACCCACATCGCAACAACACCACCAAAACGAGTAAATAGGCTTTCCCTTTCAAAGAGAAGAAACAAAGGAGTTGGGAGACATGGTTCATCTGCTGAGAGTATGCGAAAGCATACATCCAAGGGTGTACATGACCTATTAACACATGTTAATGGTTAGTTAAATGATTACCTTCTTTTTGGACAAATCCATGTAAGAATATATTGTAGGAAAAAAATAATTAATGGTTATTTTCTTATTGAAGAGAGCAATGTGGTGGCAGAGATCATTACCATTGAAGATCATCAACATCCACATTTAGAAACAAATGGTAAAATTTTCAACTTGAATAAACTTTTAAAGGTCCAATATAAAATAAGTTAAAGCTCTGTTCAGGAAAAGGGTTAAATATGTGTCTGGCTAACCAATGTTATATTGTTTTATATATATATATATTTTTTTTACTTTAGGAAGGAAGGGTATATTAAAGAAAACACACGAATGTATAAAACAGGTGAAGAAGGTACATTTTCCAGATACTGGTACCATGCCTCAAACAGTTACAAAATATCAAGAAATGGATTATAAGGAAGGTAGGTGCTTTTAATCAGTCCTAAAAATTAAGTAATGCTGAAAATATATATATCATTTCATTAGGAGGCTGTTTTCTAAAAACTTATCTTTACAGCTTTCGAGGAAGTGAACAAAATTTGGAGTATGGAAAAAAGCACAGGGTTTTTTATTGGAAGAGTAAGCAATTTCAACATCACAGATGAGGACATAAGGTCCCTAAATGGTACAAACTGGGTGACTGATCAGGTAATCACATCTTAGCTTTATAAATTATTTAATAGTTAACACTTTCCTTCATTTTTTTCTAATATACATTCAGTTTTAACATGTACATTAATTTCTAACATTTTTGCAGGTTATTGATGCATATTTAGCTGCCATTGTTCAAAAAGAAATTGAGAAAGGCAACAAGGTTGCTCTATATCCATCACAAACTATGACTCAGATAATGGAAGGAACTTTTTCAGTCAGAAAGAGTCGCAGGAAGGTATACTAGTAATAGTTACTCAGAAATCAAGTTTAATGAAAGATGGTTTAAATAATGTCTCTTTATGCTATATACATGTACTGACTATTTTGTTTTTCAGTTGAAGTTATATGAGTGCTCTGCAATAATTGGAGCTATCTATAAAAATCGTCATTGGACTCTTGTGGTAAATACACAATTTTTAGTTTTAATGAGGTTGGTACATAAAAAATATTAATCACATGGAAGCTAGTAAGATTACTGAAAATGGAAAGACACATGTATTCACAGCTCATGCATATTAGGTAATAAGTATTACATGTTCACTCTGTCTGCAGCAATCATTAATTGATTCTGCTGATCAGAATAAAAGGATCTGCATTGTTGAAATTCAGTCTATTTTAATGGATCAAAATTTACACATTAAAAATAAGGGAGACAAAACCTCATTTTTTTTTCAGATTGTTGATCCTTTGAAGGGTGTCATACATTACTTTAATCCCCTGAAAGAGACCCGAATACAACTTGAAGAAATAAAGAGAAACTGGTGGTAATTAATTAAGATGTTGTCAATGAAACAACTCTATGGCTCTATATCTAAAATTCAATCCCTCTTTTAATTAACACAGTAAAGCATTACAAGGATTGTGGTTAGTTTTGCATTCTGTTATTTATAGATTGATTAAATTATTTATAATTTCCATTTTAAGTTTGTTCACCGGTGAGAGGATGCTTACATACAATGAAGTGGAGACAAGGAATTGGGCTGTTCTCACAAGAGAACACTCTAAACAGAGAGACAGTTTCAATTGTGGCGTGTATTGTTTGATAGTGAGTAATGTAATTCTTATCATTAGTACAGTTCTTCAAATATTTTTCATCTCATCATATAGTAAATTATGGAATATATTATAATTGTGTGTAATAATGTGCAATTTATGCTAAGTATTACACACAACAAAATTATCACATTTAAAGTAATTTCTTTCTAAAATTCTTTAGTTTGCTGAACAGTATTTCAACCAGCAACCCATTGACAATGCTTCAAATGCAGACCTAAAGAGAGCAAGGGAAAAAATAGCAAGTTCTCTAATGATGTACAATGGTAAACAAAAAGCACTAAACAGTACTAACAAAAATATATTTGTGAACCATTCTTAGACTATAACTTTGATGAGCATTGGTAAGCAAAAATATCTTACATTTTAATAATTGGACATATATATGTCTGTTGACTTCTGTACTTTACTTTCCTAATGTAAATTTTTATAATTTCGATGAGAAATTAAAATGACCAATTCATTTTTGTGCTAGCATATATCTTAATCATTTTTTTTTTAACTCATGCAGTTTACAGCACAGACCGCTGTCCTTGTTGTGGATTTCTGACATATGCAGAAGAAACAGTAAGCTATTAAGTCTAACCAAAAAACAATATCAATGGAAAAAAAAAAGTTTTATCTTCCATTATAAAGAAAGAGGACAAAAGAAATAAGAAAGAAAAAAGTTTCATTACAATACTTTTTAAATTGATTTTAAACAAAAAAATTAAAAAAAAAAATAATATTGCAGATTACATGTGAATTGTGCTTAAGAAAATTTCACAGGACTGAAGCTTGTGTAGGGTCTGGATGCATGTCATTGGAATCAATCACTTGCAGAATGTGTTCCATGAAATTCACGGTATGTGTCTAAACATTCATTTTACCTTTGCAAATCCTCATATTTACTGAAATTCATGTTTAATATTTCATAAAAATTAGGGGAGAATACCCAAGAGGAAATCGGACGATGGAGAAATTGGAAATGATAAAAATCTGAAGAAAAGGAAAGCAATGGAAAATGGTTTGGGAATTTTAGGTTATATCTGCATATCATATTGAAACTGAGTTTTCACTTTCAAATCATTGTATTACTAGAAGTATATTATACAGTACTTAAAATGTTCTATTGAATTTCAGCAGATTCTGATGTGCTGTTCACAAAGAATGGATCAGATCAAAACTTGGAAGTATCGGGAAAGAATACAAAATTCCTCGTGAATAATAATGGTTGGTACAGTAGTAATTGTTTGAAATTTTTACACATGAAATGTATTTGTCATTGTTAATTTTATAATTATATTGTCTAATCGTATTCTCCAGGCTATGATTTGGTAGAGAATTTATGGTCATTAGAAAAGGATTTCAATTTTCCAGTGGCTAATGTATTTGGTAAAGTAATCATGGACACAGACATTCGTTCATTAAAAAGCAATGAATGTCTCACTGACAGGGTATGTATAATAAAGATTAATGAAAAAAGAACTCAATTGAATGCCAGCTCCAATAAATTATATAGCCATATTCATAAAGTATCATCTAAACAATGAGTGAATTCAAGTTCATATGTCTTGACCTCTTCACACAAAACAGGGCCTTGCAAAGAAAATCAGGGCAAAGCTAACCCATATAAGCATGACGGCCCATAGCAATATTCTTTAATTCATTTGTTGTTCCCCAATTTTTGTTTTTTGAAATAATGCCTACATCTATTTCATACCAGGTCATTGACTGTTATTTGTTATTGCTGGTCACACAACAAAGTGAATTAGGAAGAAATGTTGTACATTATGACCAAACCAAAATGACAGGGATCATAAATTCAGATTTCCTATTACCAGATGTATCCCAAAACTCTGTAAGTGAAAAGACTATATTGATAAATTATATCAAATACAGTTAATTTACGAACACATGATTATATGTCTTAACAAAATAAGACAAAGGTCACTATTTTGATACCAGTCTGCATAAAAATGTGTTCACATTTACAGGGTATAGATTTAGAGGCTGATGTTATTGTGGGAGTGTATCACAGGTCATATCATTGGACTTTAGTGGTGAGATTTTATGTTCACTCTGTTTTGTAAAAAGGAGTTTGTAAACCACACTATTATTACATATGTACCATCTTTCTTTCTTTTAGATTGTTGAAGTAAGAGAAGGCAAGATTTTTTTCTACAATCCATGTGGAGAGAAGAGCTATGAGATGAAAAAAATTGAAAGGAGTTGGAGGTATATCCACTAAAAATAAGCTTATGTTGACCTTGAGTTGTGACCAATATATGATATATCTGGTAGTGCTTTCAAGTTTTCTCACAAGTCATTAATATATTTTTCTTAATTGTTAAAGAAAATATGACCATGAATATCGGCACAAGTACCAAATAAGCAACAAGTCACCAGATTGGAAGATATGTTCAAGTCCACATGCTCTTCAGAGGGATTCATTCAACTGTGGAATATATTGCCTTGTGGTATTGTCATTGTTTTTTCTATATCAATAGATACCATCTGAATAATTTAACTAGCTTCATATTTGTCCATAAAATAGGACATCACGTTTTCCACAAAAAATTCCCATGATGCCAATACTTCATTATATCATTTATATATCTTTCCATTATGGTTGATACTAGCTGTTCTGGGTATTTGTTCATATTTTTTTCTATGATAGTAGATCATGTTTACTTTTTGAAATTTTATTTTAGTTTGCAGAGAAGCATTTAAATGGACACTTACATGATCTACAAAGTATAACTAAAAAAGATCTGCAAATCATGAGGAGAAAAGTAGCTTTAGAGTTGATGCTTTATAAAGGTAGGTATTTTTTATTCATTTTTAGACTTCCAGTTATAATAAAAGAAAAGAAATCAGGACAGGCCTAGTTTAACAGAAATTTGAATATTGCAGAACTGTACCTTCTTTTTTCATTGTAGTCTATTTGACGGGATGCTGCCCAAAATGTGCTAAAAAAATTGAAAATGAGGAAAAGGTAGGTCTTAGAACCATAGCACACCATGCATATTAATGTTTTCCTACAAAATGAGAAAGGATGTTTACCAACAACTCAACTCAAATTAATGTTTGACATTAACACGTATAACCCAGATTTGTCTTGTTTAATTCTAAATAATTCAACCACACTAAATGCTCTGACAGCAAAATATATCTAGATTGTTTCTTGATCATTTCATTGTTTTTCAATCTTGTTTACTAACTCTGAAAGAATTGTTTATCTCTTTTTTAAATCTACCATAGATTGAATGCAGCATGTGCAAAAGAACCTACCATTTTAAGCCTTTCTGCATTGAAGAAGACATTATAGATCTTGAAGATTTGACAGACTTTAAATGCAGAATGTGCAGAATAAATTTCTGGGTAAAAAAATTGAATCAATTCAGAAGACATACTTTCAATTTGTTCTCCAGCTTGAAATACTCCTCATCCTCTCTCTCTCTCTCTCTCTCTCTCTCTCATTTGGTCTCTAATTCTGTATCAATTTGTGTTGAAGGGAAAGTATGAAGCTGACTTGAAATCAGTTAACAAAGAAATTGCCAAGGTAAAACAGCTTTAAACAAGTTCAATTTTATATACAAAATAACAATAATAAGGGATTTAAATTTATTCAAAAATCACTATTACTTTCAGTGTTTCATAAATATGCATGCTTGCTCAACTCTACAAAATTTCATTATGACACTAAATGATGCATAATTAATAATGTAAATATTTTTGTTTTTCAAGGATTCCTTCACCCCTTCATATGACTTAAGAAAACATCCAATAAAGGTATTTTTGAAGTTTTGGTTTTCATAAATCTTGAATCTTTGTTTGCAAAAACGTATGCACATACAAACAAGTATGTTATAATCAGATACACAACATACTGATATGTTCACTTGTTTTTCAGATGAAAATGACCATAACTTTGTTTTCTCTTTATGCTGATATTCAAGAGGAAAATATGTCTTTTGAATATATGAATAGTTATTAAACTTTATTTCAGAAGAAAAAAAGAAGTTCTTTTTTGTATCCTGATATTAGGGGAAGGTAGAGATTCCCTTTAAAAGAGCATGATGTTGCATTTTTTCCTGCATAGTTTTCTGTTGTTGTTGATATATGATTATGAATCTCATAGTTCTAAATGACATATTTTAACCACCAAAACAAACAATGAAATTTGTTAGGAGTAATGACTAATTAATGTGTTTTGTACTGTCAGTGATTTATGAGAGAGACACAAATTGTATATGAGATACATAAATACATTAGTTTTCTTTGCTGTAAATCTGCATGACTGTTCAGAATCATAAGGATATCTGGGAAAAAGTATGCATGTGTACCCTGAACAATTTATTTGTTTCTTGAGTGAATTTTTTTCAGTTTTTCTTGATTGATGTCATTAAAGTGATGTCACATGACTTGGGAATAAAAATGTTTCACAAGTAAAGTCAACCAAAAGAAGTTAAAGTTTACATATTGTACAACATTTCTCAGATTTTTTTATCATAAGCATTCAATAGATTAGCTGTATATTTTATATTACAAGTTAATGTCATGATGATTTATACATTTAGTTTAGAAAATTATGACCTGCATGAACAATCTTCAAACAATAGGCCCATGGGTCACAAGACTCACCTGGGTCACAAAGTTGAATCTATACTACGAGGTTGCTGTGAACACCTATTGTGGCCCCAACCTACCACTGGTGGTCATGGTTTGAACAAACTTAAATCTACACTATGTAATGAAGCTTTCATAAATGTAAATTTCATCTTTTCAGACTCAGTGGTTGTTCAATGAATATTTTTGTAAGATGTCCATTTTTCACTAATTCTTTATTATCTCCCCTTGAAAAAAGACATGGCACATGGTCCTTTATTTGAACAAAAATGAACTGTGTTCATCCTTGTGTGCTTTATGTCAAATTTAGCTGAGATTGGCCCAGTTGTTTTTGCGAAGTGGATATGTGAAAAATTTACAACAAGACAGACAATGGACAAATATTGATTTGAAAAAGGTCACTTGAGCTTTTTGGGTCAGGTGACCTAAAAATCAAGTAAAGAATTTGTTAAAATGAACATTATGAACCTGCTAATCTATTATTTACATCCAACAGTATTAGCCTTCTAATCTTTAGTACACCCTTTCAGCAAGTTTACTAAAACTTGCGTTGAATTATGCATTACATTGTTGTTATTTAACTCCATTTTAAATGATTTACTTGTTTTACTTGTGGTTTTCATTAAAGCATCTTAATATGTCTTTATCAACCTAGCATGATTATTATTTTAGAACAATATGATCAGCTAGTAATGGAATTATAGGAAGGATAATAAAACCAATCAATTCATGAATATTTACAATTCTGTTGTAAATTTCCCGATGAAAAGTATGGAAATGATTTTTAATTTTTTTCTTTAGATATCTACCTGTCAAAGAAAAGTATTTAAGTACGGATGATTGCAAGTAAGTGTAAATATATTCAATCATTTTTTGTAAAATTACGTTTAAAGGACAACAATCTTTCTTATCAAATGATAATTATTAAACTCTATCTATGGGGTATGGAAAATTGTGAATTTTTGCTACTTGGAATTAATAATCTAAACTTATATCATTTTATGCTAATGTAGACTTACTTGTGAGACAAAGAACCAGATACAGAGTGAAAATATGTGAGTGCATGTAGCTGAGATGTATACTATTTATTTAAGCTGTTGATATTTCAAATACAGAAATGCTAAGCTTTGGCAAAACAACTTATAGATGGTTTGCAGATAAATGAAAAGAACATTTGCTCAAAAAAACTTACTTGCAATATATATTGAGATTATTAAAGACTTCATTTGCATGGTAAAAGAATTACTGTTAACAAACTTGATGTAATAAATATGCAGGGAAAAAGAGGACACTGAAAATGAGGAAGAGGAGGTACAAGAGGCTGGTGTCATGACACACTCTTCTGGTGGGTAGTTCATATGTACTTTACTATGTTCAGACAAACATATCGTTATGTTATTTGCTGAAAATTTTAATAAAAAGCTCTTTATTTTCAGTAATAGATACAGATTATATTAACAGTCATGTGAGTATAAGAAAGTTTGATACATTATTCATGTTTAATCACCATAATTAAATAGTTTCCTACAATTCATATTATTGATATTCTTTTTGCAGATGAACAGTGTAGTAGGTGCTCTGACAAGAATAATGAACTGCAAAATTAGTGAATGGTAATTTGTTTTGTTGATGTTTCCATACAAATATGATATTAATTTGATGAAATTTTATACATTTTTATATCATAAGAAGTACTTAGATAAAGCCTTAGGTACATATACAACTCCCTTTCCACTTAAATATTTCAGTGATGAAGCTGATCATGTCCGCCATCATATGTTTGTAAAGAGTCCGGCAGATATGTATGGGAAATACATTAAACAGTACTTCTTTGGAAGAAAATTTTTAAGTTCTCTGGTAAGAATTAGAAGAAGAATTATATCTGAATTAATACATGTATGTACTTGCATTTTAAATGTTATCATATCCAAAATTACAATGAAATAATTATGAAAGCTTTTGATTGTAACTTAAGATATGTGCAGTTCAAAAATATATTTCATTTACATCTCAATGGGCATTATGATGACTTTCTTTTTACAGGAAATGGAACATCTACAAACAGTTCTCCAAAATGAAATGTTCTGCAGCAAACCTTTGCATGGGTATGAATTTACAGATATTTATTTTCTTTTGAAGCCATGAATGCATTAGAAATTAGAACTGTATTCAATTGGTAATTCTTTGTCATTTATGATCTTATTTCCAGTTCTTTTCAGTTACATTTTTACCATGTTTACATAAAATTATAAATCTATTTCCAGATCAATTTTCACTCGATACAGAACCTTCCAAAATCTTAAAAATGAAGAATTGGAAAGTATCTTAATAAATAGTCCACTGTATGTATGCTTAATATTTTTATTTTTTTAAGCACATCAAATACATGTTTGAAAAGCAGTTTATCAATTTATGAATGTACTTCCTCTACTAGTGAGAATAGCTGTAAACATGTATTATTTTAAAAAAGTTTTTCTTTTTTCAGAATGGCAGTTCACTATTTCTCACTCATTTTACTAAAGGAAGCAATCGTATATCTTATTTGCACAAAAACAGGATTGCCATATGAAGAGGCTGATACAAGATGTTCATCAACAGAGTGTTCAGTAAAGGATCTCCATCTATAAGTGACTGTAAAATATATTAAATCAGAGTTTTATGTGTACTTTCTAAAAATTAATTATGCCATACAATAAAACAATAATTTATTCTTTGTAAGTTAGTATGGTGATAAATGTTGCAGCTCGTACAGAAAAAATACATAACCCGCATAAGTGGGTTACCGGTATGTTTATTTTAACTGCAATAGCTGCAACGTTAATTCCTGTACTTATAACTAAGAAAGACATTTTATTGTTTATCTTATGTTTGGGATATGTTGTACAGTGACTGGGTTATTTTGTTCTGTGACTGTGATATGATGAACAGTGACTGGGTTATGTTGTGCATTGACTGGGTTATGGTGTACAGTGACTAGGTTATGTAGTGCAGCGACTGAATTATGATGAACAGTGACTGGGTTATGTTCTACAGTGGTTATGGTGTACAGTGACTGGGTTATGTTGTACAGTGACTGGGTTATGTTGTACAGTGACAAGGTTATGTTGTGTAGTGACTGAGGTATGTAGTGTAGTGACTAGGTTATGTAGTGTAGTGACTGGGTTATGTAGTGTAGTGACTGGGTTATGTTGTACAGTGACTGGGTTATGTAGTGTAGTGACTGGGGTATGTTGTGTAGTGACTGGGTTATGTAGTGTAGTGACTGGGTTGTGTTGTGCAGTGACTGGGTTATGTTGTGTAGTGACTGGGTTATGTAGTGTAGTGACTGAGGTTGTGTTGTGCAGTGACTGGGTTATGGTGAACAGTGACTGATTTATGGTGAACAGTGACTGGGTTGCACTGTGCAGTGATTGGGTTATGTAGTGTAGTGACTAAGTTATGTTGTGTAGGGACTGGGTTATGTAGTGTAGTGACTGGGTTATATTGTGCAGTGACTGGGTTATGTTGTACAGTGACTAGGTTATGTTGTACAGTGACTGGATTATGTTGTACAGTGAATGGATTATGATGAACAGTGACTGGGTTATGTTGTACAGTGACTGGGTTATGTTGTGCAGTGACTGGGTTATGTTTTACATTGACTGGGTTATGTAGTGAAGTGACTGGGTTATGTTGTGCAGTGACTGGGTTATGTTGTGCAGTGACTGGGTTATGTTGTACAGTGACTGGGTTATGTTGTACAGTGACTAGGTTATGTTGTGTAGTGACTGGGGTATGTAGTGTAGTGACTAGGTTATGTTGTGTAGTGACTGGGTTATGTAGTGTAGTGACTGGGTTATGTTGTACAGTGACTGCGTTATGTTGTGTAGTGACTGGGGTATGTTGTATAGTGACTGGGTTATGTAGTGTAGTGACTGGGTTGTGTTGTGCAGTGACTGGGTTATGTTGTGTGGTGACTGGGTTATGTTGTACAGTGACTGGATTATGTTGTACAGTGACTGGGTTATGGTGAACAGTGACTGATTTATGGTGAACAGTGACTGGGTTATGTAGTGTAGTGACTAAGTTATGTTTTGTAGGGACTGGGTTATGTAGTGTAGTGACTGGGTTATGTTGTGCAGTGACTGGGTTATGTTGTACAGTTACTAGGTTATGTTGTACAGTGACTGGATTATGTTGTACAGTGGCTGGATTATGATGAACAGTGACTGGGTTATGTTGTACAGTGACTGGGTTATGTTGTGCAGTGACTGGGTTATGTTTTACATTGACTGGGTTATGTTGTACAATGACTGGGTTATGTAGTGAAGTGACTGGGTTATGTTGTGTAGTGACTGGGTTATGTAGTGTAGTGACTGGGTTATGTTGTACAGTGACTGGGTTATGTTGTGTAGTGACTGGGGTATGTTGTATAGTGACTGGGTTATGTAGTGTAATGACTGGGTTGTGTTGTGCAGTGACTGGGTTATGTTGTGTGGTGACTGTGTTATGTTGTGTAGTGACTGGGTTATGTTGTACAGTGACTGGATTATGTTGTACAGTGACTGGGTTATGGTGAACAGTGACTGATTTATGGTGAACAGTGACTGGGTTGCACTGTGCAGTGACTGGGTTATGTAGTGTAGTGACTAAGTTATGTTTTGTAGGGACTGGGTTATGTAGTGTAGTGACTGGGTTATGTTGTGCAGTGACTGGGTTATGTTGTACAGTTACTAGGTTATGTTGTACAGTGACTGGATTATGTTGTACAATGGCTGGATTATGATGAACAGTGACTGGGTTATGTTGTACAGTGACTGGGTTATGTTGTGCAGTGACTGGGTTATGTTTTACATTGACTGGGTTATGTTGTACAATGACTGGGTTATGTAGTGAAGTGACTGGGTTATGTTGTGCAGTGACTGGGTTATGTTGTACAGTGACTGGGTTATGTTGTACAGTGACTAGGTTATGTTGTGTAGTGACTGGGGTATGTTGTGTAGTGACTGGGGTATGTAGTGTAGTGACTGGGTTATGTAGTGCAGTGACTGGGTTATGTTGTGTAGTGACTGGGTTATGGTGTACAGTAACTGGGTTTTGTAGTGCAGTGACTGGGTTATGTTTAATTTCTGGGTTTTTTAGTGACTGGATTTTGTTGCTCAGTGACTCGGTTTATGTAGTGTAGTGGTTTGGTTATGTAGTACAGTGACTTGGTTATGATATACAGTAACTAGGATATTTACTGTATTTATTGGGTAACATTATACAATGACTTGGCAATGTTATGTAGTGATATAGTGACTGGGTTATAATATTCATAGAATGCTTGTCTTGTTTATGTTATGAAGTGACATATGTTATGTTCCAGGGCTATGATTTAGTAATGTCATGACTGCATTATGTTGTCTCATGCCTAGGATATTTTGCATCTTGACTGAGTTATGTAAGTTATGTTGCAGTGACTTGGTTATGCTTTGTAACTGAGTTATGTTTATACATAAATTGATAATTATGTGCTGTGTTATTCAGTACAGTTATTGATTTATAGTTTGATTTTTATTTTTTCTGGGTTATAATTCTGGGCAATAATTTGTTACCTTATGACATAATAAGATGGGCAAATATTGGTTTAAGTCAGTAAATAATTCTAAAAATGGAATATAAAATAGCAGCAACTCATTTCATTAAGTTCTTTTTTTGTGTTAAGTACATAATAATTTGTAATGTGCATTTCTTTCTTTTTCTTTTTTTCCTGTCAATTATAAAATATAAATGGCTGTCTTGAATACTTAGAGTACAAGTTTGTCAGTCGGATTGATTGTACCACCTGTTTTTTACATTATATAATAGTATGCTGCTATTATTATACAGTTATTGACTGGGTATGGGGCAACATATGATTTGTTGGACTTGAAAGTGAAAATGCTGCCTGAGGCCGCAGGCAACATATTTCATCTTCAGGTCCAACAGATCATACTTTGCCCGAATCCCAGTCTATATCTGTTTTGTTATACCCTTCACTTCAGATAAAATAATTAAAATGAAAACATCTGAACAGATTTAATCAATATACAATCAATTACTTTCTTTGGAAAATTTTGGCTTGATCAATAAAAATAAAAAAAAAAATGGAGCAAATGAACAAATTAATAATAAAATTATTACAAAACAAAAATTATTTATAACAAAACATACTCTTTCATATAGCAAACGACAACTCTTGCAGCTCTAAACTTCGGCTATTTCTGTGCCCCGATATTGAACGACAATTAATTACTTGTGACGTTGCGGTCTAAAAATTCTTATGTTGAACTGGCAGGCCGGTCAACAATGAAATTGTTAGACAGATGCAATAAACATTTCTTTAGTTGGACTTTTTATTAGTAATAAATATAGAGAAAGATATTTATAGGGACAACAATATAATATAACATAATATAATATAATATAATTGTCATTATATTATATATATATATATATATCTGGTCTTGTATTTTCTTTCCATTTTGTTTGACCCAATATATTTAGAAGATTGTGGAAATGTTAAATATATCAATTACTATGGCAAGTCGGTATAGAATGATTCTGAAAATGAATGCATGCATGCGTAAATTATCAGTAACTAATTATCAATTTTGAATAAAGTACAATTACTTGCATTAATGTACATTTCTTTCTCTATATTACTTTTAAGTGTGTAATGAATGAGTGTCTTGAATACTTATGAGTACAAGTTTACTTGCTAGTCAGATCTACTATGCACAGACCTAATGTTCCTTGGTATCCCTTGTATTCAAGCCACGTTTTTACTCTGTACTTAAGCATTTGAATGATTATTTTTTAAAAGTTCTAGTCTCATAACTGCAACGATGTGTGGAAACAAATTGATTGAGGTGTGTTAGGGTTTAAATTGAAAATTAGTATTTAAGTTACTGCCTTCTCTGGAAGTGTGACTTGTATTTCCATAATTACATTCCTGTAATTTGCTTATAAAATGTGTATATGGATGGGGATGTTAAGTCATGAATAAATAATATGCATATAATATATACAACATATACTCGTTTTACTTTTTTGTGGAAAGAAATCAATTGCACAAATCATCAGATCAGACATTAATTACTTTTGTGATAATTTTCAAATACTATCTAACTGCTCAAAGTTCCAATAGGAATCCAATTAAATTACCTAACAATACGGTGGTTGGATAAAATTGCATTACTTTGTACACCGATTGTATGAACCATGCAACTGAAAATGCAGAAACGTCAAGTCTATAATAACAAAAAGATCACACTACTCAAAACGCCAGATTAATCAAGAGACTCAAGACATCGGCTTACGTGTATAACATATTAACATGATTAGTAATCAGAATTTAGAATATTCGCATAGATTGTTGAAATATTTCAATGCGTGCAAACTGTTTGTTATTTACATAAATACATCGGGTTCAGGTACTGAATTGTAGGCATTAAAGTCGCGTCGGAATTTATTTTTCCGGATGCACTGACTGGGTTATGTTATAGACTCTACCCTATTGTTTCAAGAGTACTGTGCAACAATATATTCGAGAAGTGGTGTAAATCAGATGTGGATACTTAAATATTCCAAGGAACTTTTGGAAAATTTGAAGAATTTACCAAAATCAACAGCTTAAAAACTTACAACTTTTCAACTTTATACACAACCATTTCCCACGATAAATTAAAGTCCAGGGTTTTTGATATCATTGACAGCTGCTTTTTCAATAAAAATGGAACTCGTAAATTTACTTACCTTGTCATTGGTCATTTGCAAAATTATTTTGTTAAAAACATTCTGATTATACACACAAGTACTCTGAAGTTGACATTAAAAAGATGCTTGAGTTTCTGATTGACAATATCTATGTGGTTTTTGGAGACCAGGTCTTCCAACAATGTATTAGAATTTCCATGGGTACCAATTGCGCCCCGTTATTAGCAGACCTTTTTTTGTATTCATATGAAGCAGAATTTGTCCAAAATCTTGTACGTGAAAAGAAGAAAACACTTGCTGTGGCCTTCAACTCGACATTTAGATATATCGACGACGTATTGTCAATTAACAATGGTTATTTCCATTCTTATGTCGATACGATATATCCCGGTGAGCTTGAGAAAAAAGAT